TTCCTTTGTAAAATTGCCTCAAGGAAAAGGTCAGCTAAGTTTTGCTCTTTCTGTGCGCAGGGTTCTTGGTGTGTTATCATTACCAGGATCCACAATAGGTGCCTTTGTTCTTGTTGACTTTCCCTGAACCTTCCTGCAGGTGTAGACCTGCCTGCTGGGTATCGGAAGCCCCATGGGGCCAGGCTATGGTGGACTCCATGAAGGGACCAGCTTTCAGAGAGCCCTGTGTAGCAGCATTGATTTGCATCTGATTAATCGATGCTTGATGAAGCAATGGGTGATGGGTGCTGTAGGTTTGCTTTCTTTCCTTAAATCCTGCTTCCTAAAGCTTTGTGGTGGGCATGATGGGAGAATGTCTTTGTGGAAACGAGAAGTGTAAGAGATGAAGCAAGTCATGCTGGGAAAGGCATTCAGCATATTTAACTTGAACTTGAACATTGAACATTGGCCACCGAGGTCAAGTTCTGACCCCAGTGCTCAGCCCAGTGCCAAGTTTTCTGTCCAGTCTTAATAGTTAGCACCATATTATTGGAATGCTTACAGTATAGTCCCTTCTTGTGCCTGTACCTTGTATCATTACTGTTTATGGTAAAAATAACCATTATCATTTAAGATTATCATCTTAAATAGGAATATGTTGCATGGTATTTATATCTGTCCATATACATATATACAGACATAAATACACTGTGTTATATAATAAATATACTTCATGCTATACTTTTTGTGATAACTTATTTCCATTCATTTATTTCCATCTTCATCTTTTATTTATTGGTCTAACATTGCATCCTTCTTTTCACTTCCAGTTCTTAGCTTTTGGCAATGCTGGTTGATCTTGGCCATTGGAGAGTTTTATTTCATTCTCATCTTTTGATTGGTTGGAAGTTTCATCAGCATTTCTTCTCGAGGTTCTTGGCTGATGATAACCAGCCGTTACTTGTCAGTTTGGGGTGATAGGAACTCTGTGCTTTCCGAGTAGAGTTGGACTGCATTGGTGTGACAGTCCAGGTAGACACATTCATAGACTCTCATATGTGGGTAAGGAAAGAGCTTTACATACAGAGCAATTGTGTATTGAGAAAACATTCCAGCCCAGTCCAGATCAAGTCCATCAGTCTGATATTAGCCCATATGTCCAATACCAATCTATAAAGTCCTCTTCAGACTCATGAAACACATGCAATGATGCCGAATGCAGGAAGATCACAGGCCAGTTGCTGGGAAGTCTTGTGGATCCAGTGGCAGTGGAGGTAATTCAACGCTGGCTTGGGTCTCCACATGGCTCCTCCAGCTCCAGGGCTCTAGAGTAGCTCCATGAGTCATGCCGGCAGGAAAACGAAGCAAAGTCTGTGCGTATCTGGCCGCCAGTGAGCTATTTATCTTTATAGTGCCTTCAAATGAGCTCATCAAGCTGCGACCTGAGTAACAGGCTAGCCACCACCCTTTGCAAGTTGACAACAGATTCTGTAACCACCACAATCGGGTTTTCAGTGGTAGGTTTTCGAAGTAGATTTTACCAGGATTTTCCTTCAATGGGCCGTTTGAGTGGACTTGAGCCACTAGCTTTTCCATTAGCAGCCTAGCAAGTGAACCATTGACACCATAAAGGAACTCCGATAAAGAAAAAAGTATATGTGTTTAGTAAATGCTCACAGGGCATGAATTATTTTGATCGTGTAAATATTCAGAAATGAGCAATTTTTGTGCGTGCTGTAACAAAGCCTACTGCTGACTTCCAATGATCCTATAGGACAGAGCAGAACTCCTTGGGGTGTCCAAAGTGGTACGTCTTTTCAGAAGCAGGCTGCTGCATCTCTCTCCAGAGGTGGGTCTCTGGGTCTAAACTGCAGACCTGTTGGCTAGCAGCCTCTGCTTAACCCACTGCACCACCAGGATTTCTTACACACTGTGAAGTTCAACGTGTGATCAATTTCATGATACATGCATAGAAACGGTAACATTACAAAGATGGTGTGCATTGCTCTCAGACGCATATTGATTTCTTCTGGCCGTGCCTGTCACTCAGCTGTCAGGGTCCACATTGATACATTTGCAGAGTGTATCACATGATCCTGGACGCTGACACGCTCATTGACTAGGTGGATTACGAGAGCCCGTGACCCATGGGAAGGCTGGAGTGAGTGTACTCACTCGATCATGCTTCTCTTTCCTTTTCCTTTCCTCTGTTTCCCAGCCCTCTGTGCCAGGCTTTTCTTCTGCTCAGAATTTGATGTCTTACAGCAGATATACATATATACACCAGTGTAATCATATATGAATATTTAAATATAGATGAGATGAGAAGCTCATCGAGCAAGGCATCGAGAGTGAGGTAAGGTCTGGGATGAGTGTTGTGAATGTCAGAATTCCCAAACTTGAGCGACTTAGTAACAACATGAATTATAGCGAGTTCCCTGCCCTCGAATTTTTGATGGATCCATTCAGACTAGGCTGGAATCTTGGAACCTTTCTTGGAATCTTGGAACCTTTCCAGCAAGTTCCTGGTCAAGCAGGGGCTGCCCACCAGGGGGGGCTGTACTTTGAGAAAGCTTTTCATGTGCTTGTGAGGAGGAAAGTGGGTCCCCGACAGAAGAATGAACTTGTCCAAGATCTTACAACTGGTCAACCTGGGTGAGCATCGGGGCTAGAATTAGAACTGGTGCTTCTGACTGTGGCCCTGTGGTTCTCAACCTGTGGGTCATGACCCCTTTGAGGGTTGAACAACTGTTTCACAGGGGTCGCCTGGTTCATAACAGTAGCAAAATTATGAAGTAGCAATGAACATAATGTTATGGTTGGGGGTCACCACAACATGAGGAACTGCCTGAAAGGGTCGCGGCATGAGGAAGGTTGAGGACCACTGTCCTAGGTCTCTTCTTTGCTCAGCGACAGCCGCTGGCATATCAACTCTCTGTGTTCCTGGTGCCTGAAGAGGTTATCAGGAGAGACCAATTCCTGGAGAGGGACATCATGCTTGGTAAAGCCGTGGTACTGGGCACAGAGGAAGACCCTCGGCAAGATGGATGGACGCAGTGGCTGCAACAAAGGGCTCCACAAGAACGATGGTGAGGCTGGTGCAGGACCAGGCAGTGCTTCATTCCTTTGTCATGGCGTCACTATGAGTAGGAACACCTCAGTGACACCTGACAGCAACAACAAAGCTCTCCAAAGGAGCCCCGGTGATGCAGTGATGAAGCACGGACTCAGCTGCTAAGTGCAAGGTGGGTGGTTCGAACCTGCCAGCTGCTCCGTGGGAGAAAGACTTTGCAGTCTGCTTCCATAAAGATGACAGGTGTGGAAAACCTCTGGGGCAGTTCTACTCTGCCCTACAAGTCGACTCAACTCCGTGGCAGTGGATTGAAGTTGCCCAGGAGTCTCTGTGTGGAACAGACAGTTCCTCGAGGACTCCCAGGCCCTCAGAAGTGAGACTTGGCAGCCTTCTTCTGAAAGGTCCCGGCTCAGAAAACCCTATGGAGTGCAGTTCTGCCCTTGAACACATGGGCTCATGTTTGGAAAGGGGCTCTGTGTGGCAGCTGATTGGTTTTTGGTTAAATTATTCCAATATATTTCAGTTCTTCATTTTCATTTCAATGTAATAATTATGATATGGGACATTTGCCTCTCAGTCACTATTTAGAGAATAATATGAATATTGTCATTTCTCAGACATAGGCTATTATAAACACAGGTCTATATTATGTCAAGGAAAGCAAGTTAAAGATAGCATGAACTCTACAAGTCACCGTGAGAAAAATGAGTCCATTTTCACCTGGACCTAATTTCGGTATGATGTTATTCCACTGTGCGAGGGCTTTAAAAAGTTTGTGGAAAGCTGGAATTGTCCCATGTTAGATAATCACGCACTGAAGTTCAAAAGGAAGCCTTTCCACAAGGACAGAGTTAGAGAGTTAGGAAGGAAGGCGGAGCGGAAGCAGGATGCCCGTGGAGGAAATGGGATGAGCACTGGCCCTCGAGAGCAGTGCTGCGGATGAGCTGGGGCAAGATGTATAGGGCTTGTCGAGTGTAAACCTGAGGATGTGCTCTGTGAGCCTCACCTAGTGGGCAATGAAGCCTCTTAAAAAGATAATAAAAATTTAAAACATGTTTAAAGCTTTTTTTTTTAAGTTAGACTTTTCTACAGTATTCTCTTGCCTGTATTTTCATGATGGGAAATACTGTTGGAAATGTGAAATGAAAATGTTGGTTATTGTTGATTGTCTTTAAATGAAGACATGTCGTGAAATTGTTTTTATTTATTTTTTCCTATTTTGAATAAATTATTTGTGAAATTTTTTTGAATGGGCTATGAAGTGTTTCCGCTTCCTCAGCCCACAAAGTACCGAGGGTTGTGTTGTTGTGGGCGCTGCTGATTGACTTGGCATCAGTGGTTTCCTGACCCGGATGCGAGTGTCAAAGTCGCACTCATGGGCCACACAGTGCACGTCCTTGCCACCTGCTCATGGCAGTGGAGAGCTTCGTCCAAAAATAAAGACCTGGAATGGCCAGAACATTTAAATGCATACCCCTCCCACACACACACAGCCCCCAAACATTGGGGAAGAAAGTTCCATCGCTTAGTGATGGACTCCAATCAATAATGTTGACTAAGAGCCTCAGGAGTGCGTTGTTCTGTGTAAGTTCAGTGGACTCAGCATGAGGTCACCAGCACCAGTGGCTTCCATGGTTTTGCCCAGAGGGGCAGCCTTTGTGCATGTGTAGACATGCCTAACAAGCATTTGTTGAAAGAACTGATGTATACATAACGAAGGCCCACACGATGATTATTTTCACTGTAGGTGATTTGCCCCATATCCGGATATGCCCAGACTTAAAAAGCTGAAGTTGACACTGATTAATTTCCTTGCTTGGCAGCACAGCAAGCCATGTTACAATCTGTCACTTTGGGGAGAGGGAGATGTGCCCATCTTCCCACACTGTAGCCAGACATGGCGTGCAGGTCACACTTCTGATCCTAATGCCACCTTCTGTCTTTCCAGCGTCTTGTTGAAGCTGCAGAGGAAGCACATCTGAAACATGAATTCGATGCAGACTTGCAGGTACGTCTTTATACTTTGATTCAGTGTTTTCTTGGCCAAAGGAGGGATACCAGGCATGTAGGAATACCAAGTTCCCAAGACAGGCTTGTGAGAGGTTGGCATCCAGCTGGGGGGCAAGGCAGGATTATGATGCTCAACCTTTCTTTCTCTCGTACATGGAATTAGATTTCTATGAACTGCTCCCCAGCTTTGAGAGATCGAAACCAGGAAACTGACCGCAATCAGCAGAGCTCTTAATTATAAACTGATGATGTTGTTAGAAGAGTCTGTCCACATCCTTCCTCTGTACTGGATTTTGAATACAAGCGAAGGAAAGCAGCATAGCAATGGCTCTACCCTTAATTGGCTATTAATTGTATTTTAAAAGTGAAATGACCACTCAGACCTGGGCTTTGCGTCTTTGCATGTCTGTTTAGTCAGCACCATGCATTTGGTCCTGGGGCGCCTGTGTGTGTGACTGGGTGTGAAGGGTTGGGTGTTGGTTTGCATGGAGAACATCATAGAAGGAAGTGAGTGAGTTGCGTAATACTCACAGGTGCCTGGGGTCCCTCCTGAAGGAGCTTTCATCTGTACTGTCCTGGTGAGCTCTGTGGCTTTTACAAGAAGCAGTCCCAGGTCTTTAATTCTGTGATGGCTGGAATATATTTCCCTAAGTGGCGGGCAGCCACAGTTAGGAGATGTTGTTGATTTTTGCCACATTTTCCTTAAAAACTGGAGATAAGGCAGGCACATATCTACAAAAAGAAATAACAATGCGAAAAATGCATCTTCCTCCTGTGACTGCATCTCTTGTCCTCACTCCCATCTATTACCTTTCACATCTGCGTCTTCGGTGGATACAAATGACTCATTGAAGTGGAGGATTAAGGAACAGTAGGAAAGGGTTCCTTTACAGATGTGCAGGGAGGATTAAGGAACAGTGGGAAAGGGTTCCTTTACAGATGTGCAGGGAGGACTGAGGCACAGTGGGAAAGGGTTCCTTTACAGATGTGCAGGGAGGACTGAGGCACA